GGAGCTCACGGTGGAGCAGGGCCTGGTGAAACCAGAGTGGGTGACACCCACTGCTCACCAGTGGCATTTTTTGATTTAAACAAGCCTTAAATCCTGCCATCAAGTAAAATTATCACTCAAGCATAAGCGGTTTCTGCTAAAAAAAAAAAAAAGGGAGTTCTAAGTGAGATTGGTCTGTAGGTCCTGGGTTGTTTTGGGAATGGTTTATCCACCATGCAGCACACAGGATATTGTGGAATAGCTCTGTAGGAGCAAGTGTTCATCTCCAGTTGCAGGTGAGTGACTTGTCTCGAGTCAGACTATTACATGAACCATCTGCCTTAAAAATCACAGATTTACAAACCTGCAGCACAAATACACTTTCCCTGTGAAACCCCTGCGACTCCTTCCCGCTCTGTCGCTTCCAAACAAGGGCAGTTTGTGTCCTTGCACTCGAGGGGAAGCAGCGTTTGAAGTGTTTTTCCTGAAGATCCCTTGGTGTCTGACAGTGTGTTAAATGTCTGTTGAGTCTTTGTGTGCTTGTGGCCATCACACTCCCGGTTCAGAGCAGTGCAGAGTGTTTGCATGACCTTGAGCTGCCCCCTGGAATCCCATCTGGTGTCATTTCCAAACGGAACGGGCTGCCTGGGATTTAAATCACCGGGAGATAAAGCTTTGCATGCTCCACCCCTGCCTCACAGCCACGTAAGTAATTCTCTTTTAGGTGATTGGGAAACAGGAAAGGGTTTTCCACCTGGTTTAAAAAACGCTCCACTGGGGTGCTTTAAAACTGTTTACAAATTATCTAAACAATTAAAGGGGCCCAGGCTTGAATTCTGTAATATCCATGTAATCCCTCTGAAGTAGATGGGATTACATGCGTGAAATCAGAGGGCCCGTGGCAGCTTGGGGGAGTTTTTTTTTTAATGAAGATGATATTTCAGAGTCACAGTGTATGCACAGAGAGGAGGTGGGCATTAATTGGGTGTTAATTGATGTTTCTGTTGTATCTGTCCTTGCAAGAGCAGGGTGGAGCCCGTGGAAATTGATGTTCTTACCTATAGGGTGTTATAATGTTGCACCTGGAATTTTGTGTTAATTTTGGGCCCCTCGCTGCAAGGAAGTCATTGAGGGGCTGGAATGTGTCCAGGGAAGGGAACGGAGCTGGGGAAGGGGCTGGGGCAGCAGGAGCAGCTGAGGGAGCTGGGGGGGCTCAGCCTGGAGAAAAGGAGGCTCAGGGGGGACCTTCTGGCTCTGCAACTCCCTGGCAGGAGGGGGGAGCTGGGAAGAGTCAGGCTCTTCTCCCAGGGAACAAGGGACAGGACAAGGGGAAACGGCCTCAAGTTGCACCAGGGGAGGTTTAGGTTGGATATCAGGAAAAATGTCTTCATGGAAAGGGTCGTCAGGCACTGTAACAGGCCACCCAGGGCAGTGGTGGTGTCACCATCCCTGGAGGTGTTCAGAAACCGTGTGCATGTGTCACCTGAGGACATGGTTTGGTGGTGGACACGGGAGTGTTGGGTTAATAGTTGGACTCAGTGATCCCAGAGCTCTTTCCCAGCCTTAACAATTCTGACATGGAGAGTTCTGAGCTCAACACAGCTTGTGAACACTTGTAGCTCCCACCCTGCCATTATATCCTAGTCCTGGCCTCAGGCTGCAAAATTCCTTAATTAATTCCCTCATTCAGCCTGGAAGGGGCTGCCTTCCCTCTTGGGCTTTCTTTTTCTTCTTCCTGCACCCTGTGAGGGAGGATAAGGAAGGGTCCTTCCCCTCTCCCACTGCCTTGGCCACCCACCGTGCAACTTTACCCCAATGAATTTTGGCAAGTAAGCCATGAGAAGCATGAGGAGGACTGGGAAGGGGAGAAGGTGAGAATTGCTTCCAGGAGAAACACACAGCTCTTTTGGGAATGTACCAGTGAGATAAACCAATCAACAGAGGCACTTGGGTCTTCAGAAGAAGTAAGTTTAAGGAATAATGAAAAGGCAAATACGTTCTTTTGAGAGGGCTAAACATCCTATCACTCCATGCCCTTGTCCCAGGTCCCTCTCCAGCTCTCCTGGAACCCCTTTAGGTGCTGAAAGGGGCTCTAAGGTCTCCCTGGAGCCTTCTCTTTTCCAGCTGAACACCCCCAGCTCTCCCAGCCTGGCTCCAGAGAGGCTCCTGCCCCTGGAGCAGCTCTGTGGCCTCCTCTGGGCTTATTTCAGCAGCTCCATGTCCTTTTTGTGTTGGGGGCCCCAGAGCTGGACCCAGCACTCCAGGTGGGATCTCATAAGAGCAGAATAGAGGGCTGGAATCGCCTCCCTTGACCTGCTGGTCACTCTGCTTTATTTTGCTGAGGTTTGCACCATCCTCTAGTGATGGTTTCAAAGAAATAACACTGAGAGTGGAGAATTCATTTTGTTTTTCTACTGCACTGTGCAGTTTGAAAATTTCATTGAGTGTCCTTAACTCCTATTTTGGGAGAAACTGTGAGCAACCCTTCCCTGATCACTTCCTTTCCCTTATTTCCAGTGTCCCCTCTGAAGGGACAATCAGTTCCTGTTGTGTCCCGTGAGTAGGGCTGCCCATGGATCCTCCCCAGGAGCTGCTGGTGTCACCACGAGGCACCTTCTCAGAGCAGCTGCTCCTCTTCAAGCAGCATTGCCATTTGGCACTGAGGCTTGGGGGAAAGGCTGAGAGAGTTGGGATGGTTCAGCCTGGAAAACGAAGGCTGTGGGGTGACCTAACTGTGGCCTGAAGGAGCCACAAGAAAGAGGGAGAGGGACTGTTTACAGGACAAGGGGGGAATGGCTTCAAACTGAAAGAGAGGAAGTTTAGATGAGATATTAGGAATAAATTTTTGCCTGTGAGGGTGGGGAGGCCCTGGCACAGGTTGCCCAGAGAATTTGTGGCTGCTCCATCCCTGGAAGTGTCCCAAGGCCAGGTTGGATGGGATTCTTGGAGCAACCCGGGCTAGTGGAAGGTGTCCCTGCCCATGGCAGAGAGGCTGAGAATAGATGATCTTTAAAGTCCCCTCCAACTCAAACTTTCTACAATAATTTTAGGGAACAGGCTGGAAATCTCATATTCCACTGGCTTTGCTGGGACCTACAAGGTGATGGAGCTCCAGCTTGATAGGAACAGCCCTCAGCCCACGGGTCCTTTACCTTGGGCCTTACCTCTCCCTTTTCCAAAGATTAAACCTCTCCCTTCTGACAAATAACTGTACATTTTAAGGAGTTAGAAAACCAAGGGTGAGGGAGGATGTCAGGCACAGTTAGTGTGATTTTTTTTTTTTTTTTTTT